ACCTATAGAAGTTTCGCTCTCTCACATTGAACTCTGTGATGATACAAGCAAGGGCACATCCAATCCGGGGAATGATGACATGTTCAGTGGCATTTACACTCCCATTAACAGCTTCATCTCCAGTAACAAAAGGAGTCTGCAGCAAACCTACTCCCACTGCTGTGACATTATTCCTCTTTAATTCAGAGGCATTGTCCCCACCTCTGGCTAAGCCAGTCAGTTTGTAACTGTCACTTCCTTGACGGTGATGTTCAAATACTGGCAAAGTATCACCTGCAGCATCCTCCTTGCTGGAAGCTTCACTTAACATTGTGGATAACTGTGGTGCCCAAGTCCCCTCCAACTGTGAACGTGACCTTGGCAAGTAAGAGCAGCTTCTCTCTTCACATTTTCATCTCTGTTATCTCCTTAAGGGCCTGGTGAAACCAGGGAGTTAAGGCATCACATTGTTTCTTTGGGAGGTTTTGAACTGTCTTGCTCCCTTTAATTGAGCCTTGGTGATGGACTGTGCCACTACGAGGGAGCTGTCTCACATGGATCTTTGCTCACATCCTGAAGGTGACTATTTGGCTAGGGTCCCCTGCAATAGTCCCTACCACAGCGCCTTCCTCTGGGGGCAGGATGCTTGTCCTGCCTATTCTCTGTGGTGTGTTTGTGTGTATTGCCTGTTCAGTTTTGATAAAAATACTCGTGTTTGGTTAAGTTTGAAACAGGCTTCGGTTGCTTGAAAACTCACGAGTTGCCTACTTTGGAATTCAACCACAGTAATAGCTAATAGTTATTGAGCACATACTTTGCACCAGGCACTGTTCTAAGTGACTTACAGGTTGGAGTCCCCGTTGATAGATGTTGTTGTTATAAACATCATATGTTGTTGTTCTAAGTGTTAACCACGGTTACAATTTAGTTGACGAATCTAATAAATAAACAGCTTCGTCAGTCCAGCACTGCCGAAATTTGAATTGCCTAAGATTTGTGTTTTGGTTGGGTGAAAAAAAGATCTAAGCCACTGACATCACGAGAGTGCACGAAGCATAAGAGCCACATTGCTCACATTTTTAAAATGTTTTAAAAATTATATAGTACATGTTTCTGTTTTAAGTAAATAGCTGGAAGTGTTCACTTCAATAAATTCTATAGAAGAAAGCTCCCTAACGTTAGTCTCCCCCTAAAATAAAGACAGAAAATAAAAGCTCATTTACGATATACAGTTTTCAAAAATTGCGTTGGTATGAGTGTAGCAGGCTACACAGGCAGTGATCAAATATTCCGAACTCTTGTGCAAGATGAAGACTGTATTTCCTAAAGTTTGGGAAATGACTAGAGCTTTGTTGAGGGTCTCCAAAGTGACTGTGCAGCTGGCCCTTATAATAGAACTACCTCTGTGACAGGTGGGGCCCCTCTGGGGCCTGGGCACTGTCCTCTGGGTCCCAGGGGCCATACGTGTGATTTATCGGTGAGTCAAGTTGTTGAACAGGGACCACCCTTGCATGCCTGGCTTCTGGAAAATCCATCCTCTACGATGCTACTCCTTTCTACACTTCAACATCAATAGGAAGAAGCAGAGCCCCCGTTCCCACACCTTAGACAGTCATGCTTCCACCCTTGGAAGAGCTAAGTGAATGGAGTTCTGCAGTGTAGCCCAGCAGCACATGTGGGTCCAGCGAATGGCCTCATGCGATCCTCCGAGTGTCATTGCCACAGTGTCCTCTGAGCTGTGGAAAATGGCAATCAGCAGAGCAACCTCCTCAATAGATCTGCTCCTCCCAGGCCCCACATCCCGTGGACGAATGTCCAGCTGCTGCATTTCAATGGACAGATCATAGGCAGCTGGCTCCCCCACAGCCGGTGCAGCAGGCCCGGGCTTGGCCTCTGCTCACCCCCCTTCCTCTGTGGAGCTCACGGCAGCTTTGGACTTTGAGGAGTAAGCAACACACCACCCATCTCCTTCCCCTCCATCTGTTCCCTGATGGTGACCCGACCCTCTTGACCTGCTGGCTTTGACCTTGTGAGAGGATTTCTCTCCTCACTCTTTATCCTTTGGACTCCATGCTGGGCACTGGAACTGTATTTCTTTCTCTGTTCCATCATTGGACTACCTTATGCCATCTTGGGGAAGTTCTGGGACTCTCCCATATGGTAAGGCTGGGAGGGTGGAGCCCCCTCTTCCCAATATTAAGTCCCACCAATTCAAATCTAGGCCACACTGACTTATGGGAGTCTGTGTGCAAGTTACCTTGACTCTCTGACTCTGTTTCTTGTATAAATGGGGTGGCGAATCCCTTTCTCACAGGGATTTAGTGAGGTTTAGTGATCACACACCCACGCCCACCCACACAAACACATATATCTAGTCCATCACAGCGTAGTACTCAAATAGTAGATAAATAACTCTAGAAATAAGACAGTTTCCTGCATTTCCCTTTACCCCCACCTTGGTCTCTGCCCTCAGGTTGTGATGTCCTGTCCTCATGCTGCTGGTCCCAGCCCCCTCTCCTATTAGTCAGTAAAGGGGACTCAGACGGAGTGCTCCCCTCCCCTCATAGCAGAGAATCTCTCATTGGTTGCCATCACCATGGCAACTCACTGTCTCCTCCCCCACCCCCCCTTTCCAGAGCAGCAGATTGTGGAGTTCCAGACTTCTCAGCTCTGGGAGGGAGGAGGAAAAAGATGGGGGAGGGGAGCTCTAGAGGCAACCTTGACTGCAAAGGCGGCCACACGGTTCGGGTTTGCTTGGATTCCTAATACCAACCTGGCATGCATGTGGCCTCTATTATCTCTGCACATTCAGGCAACCATTTAGATAGCCATAGACACTCCTGATTCCCTTTGAAATGGGCCAGCTTGGGACCTGAGGGTCCTGAGTTCATGGCACGTGGCATGCATGATAAGCATGTTGTTCCTACAGAAGAAGGGTTTTCTTCCCACTGCCTTTGCAGCACTGCTGAGGTTACACTGCAGGACCAGTGGGAACGAGGTCTGTGAACTCCAAAGGCTGTCAGGGGTCATTTGTTATTCTGGTCATCCGCCCCTGCCTCCCACCCTGTGTGGTTGGCCAGAGTGGGGCAGCCTCATGGGTGCTTTCCTATCCGGATGACAAGTGGGGGTTTGGAGTGTAAGTCCACATGGGGCCCCTGGAGAACAGCATAGGGCATTGGGCAGTGAGATACCAACCACTGGGTCCCAGCTGTGAGGTCCCTACCAGGGCCTGAGAACCTACTTCCTTCCTCCCCAACACGCCTGCAGAGGGGGTACACAGCATGGCTTCTACATGCACAAATTGTGATGTGCAGGGATGCCTGGATGGCTCAGTTGTTGAGTGTCTGCCTTCGGCTCAGGGTGTGGTCCCTGGGTCCCGGGATGGAGCCCCACATCCGGCTCCCCACAGGGAGCTTGCTTCTCCCTCTGCCTATGTCTCTTCCTCTCTTTGTGTTTCATGAATAAATAAATAAAATCTTAAAAAAAAACCTGGGATGTGCAAATGCTCTTTGGTGCACTTGGAATTCAAAAATGATTTAAAAGCATGGGCTGAATGAAGGCAACTTTTGCCTGTTCTCAATCAGCAGCAGGGAGGGTCAGTGAATTGACTGTTGGAACATAAGCTCCATAAAAATGGGTGAGGGGAGGACATCCTGACACCTGCTACAATGGATGAGCCTTGAGGACATGATGCTAAGTGAAATAAGCCAGAAACAAAAGGACAAATACTGTATGATCCCAGTTACATGAGGTAATACATGAGGTAATGAATATGCTAGGATAAGCAAATTCATTGGGATAGAAAATAGATTAGAGGTCACCAGGAGCCATGTGGGAGGGAGAGAGGGGAGTTAGTGTTTAACGGGGACAGAGTTTCAATGTGGGAAGATGAAAGGGTTGTGGAGATGGATGGCCCCAAGGGCTGCACAGCATCGTCGTGGACGTGCTTAATGCCATCGAAGGTCATACAGAGAGATGGTTAAAGTGGTAAGTTTTCTGTTATGCGTATGTTACCACAATAAAAGAAATCCAACCCCCCCAAAGGTGAGGTGAGGTGGGGTGGTGAAGCACTGCCATGGGAATGAGGGGACGGAGAACATGCTCAGTGCTCAGTGAGGCTTTGATGGGTGAGGCATTCTAGAGAAGGGGGTCTTAATTGACAGGCTGCCTGGCCCTGCCTCTTCTGGCTGACTGATAGGCCAAGAAGGTGACATCAGGGGCTCCCTGCCTCTATTTCCTGAGGGAGCTAGGGAAGCCAACAGGGATGGCCCATCCCCTCCCCTCAGGGTTCCAGGTGTTTTAGGAGTCACCAGGGTAGTGGTGTTCCTCAGCTTTGGTCATGGCCTTCTTCCCTCTGGAAGGCCCAGGGTGGGGTGGAGTGCCCCTCTCCCCAGGACCCAGCGCTGGTCCAGTGGCCACAGAAGAGGCGTGGCCAACATCACAGCCAGGTGGAGGGACACGGTGCTCTCCTGGGACCTGCACGCCACGCCCTCACAAGCTCCAGGGCCTGGGGTGTCTGCAGCCCCTTCTTGCCTTCTGAGTCACTGCTCAAACCCACCAGCCCTTCTGACAGAGCTGGAAACAGGCACCAAGCCCTCCAGAGGCTATTTTTAGGGTTCATCTGTTCTTTCTGATCTCTCCTCTGGATTCCATATTTTCCCACCCCCAGATCTGAAAGAGCTCAAGATTCTGGAAATCCTTCCCCCCCCACCCCCCATCCCCGCTCCGCCTCTCAAGGTGCTCTCCCTGGCTGGACAGCTGAGCTGGCAAGCTGCGCCTTCACCCCCACCTTCCTGCACCACTCCCGCCTTCTTTCTGGATCCCCACCCTCACCCTCTGGCCCCCAGCTCGGCAGGCAGCATGGGAAACAGGCTGATTGTCTGACATCATCTCCCACTCCCCGGCCTGCGAAGAGTTACTCACTCAGGCAATCCCTGCTCCGCCGGAGGAGACTGTCCAATTGCCAAGCAACCCACTGTCGGCCAATCACGGGCCTCGGAGGTGATGTCATGGAGAGCGGGCGGCCGTGCTGATGGGGAGAGAAGCCCGGGGTACCACTAATTGAGGGAGTGAGGAAGGGAGCAGCACGCTCAAACGGGACTGCAGGTAAGTGGCGACGGAATGCAAATGATTTGAGGCTTTTCGGGCAAAAGGAAAAAAATATATATATTAGCAGCGACAGAGAGGAGAAGCCAGGGGTCTGGCACCATTTGCGTCGCCTTTTGGTTTCAATCAATCAAACTTTGCCAAATTCTAGGGGGAAATGGGGGTGATGTGAAAAGAATGGGGCTACCCCAAAGGGCAGGGGGTTGCGCTGCGGGCAGTCCTATTCCAGATCTCTGGGAGAGAGAGGGCGGGCAGGAATTGCCAGGGTTTCTTTCGGGTCGGATGTCCATGCTGAGTTCTTTCTGCATAAAAATGTTCTGTTACTCAGGGAGAATGGTTTTGTGCAGAGTCTGGTCCCCCTCCCACGTGCCCCCCCAACTGCCGCTGCCCCCCAGACCCTTTCAAGCTAGCAGCTGCTCTGGGTTTTACATTCCCTTTCTCAGCCACAGTTTTTCTTGGCTCGCTTCCCCACGGGGATCATCCTTTTCTTTTTCCTCTGTCTGCACTGGGTTACTTTGGGCCCCGGGTTCTAAGGAGACAATGAGATCACCACCTTCCCCTCGCCCCGCCCCACCCTGAGGTCAACCTGTTCCTACCTGGGCAGGGCTGGCAGGCTGGCGGGCTGCGAACTGCGGGGGACCCACCACTGCCACGCCCTGGTCCCCGCTGGTGGCCCCTCCGTGCTCAGCCCACCGCTCTCCCCAGGAGTTTAGGCATTGCCCTCTTCTCATCCAGGGGACCAGGGATTTACTGTCCAGTGGCCAGTTCCGTCCCCACGTGGCGATGCTGTCTTTGTCTCATTCCTCCCAGGAAGACACAGTCAGGTGTGGAGGAGTCCTATTGTCCTGAAAAAAAGGCAGGTCCCCTGAACCCCTTGGGGGGCTCAGGAATGTTGAGGCAGCCCAGGTCCGGACAGCCTGGGCAGGGATACCCCTGTATCTCAAGACCGAGAGAACACCCAGGTAGGAGATGGCCAGCGGTGGTCCGCTGGAGTCCTGCAGGGTGGGTGGTAGGTTGAGAGGAAACGTGGGAGAATCTGTCTCTACTGAGGCTGAGCCCCCCTCCAGGGGGAGGAAACCTCTCCCACAGGCAGAGAGTCAGGGTGCCAGGGGGAATGAGATCATCCATCAGATGAGGAGATAATGATAGTGCTGGAGTGAGAGGTGAGGAGGCACAGGGGCAAGGTCTGTTTTGCTGCTCCACCGAACAAAGCTAGAGCCTCCAGAGACCCTACCCTGTCCTCTGGGGCTGGCCAGCACCCTCTCCTCAGCCACCCTAAGATGCTACCTTGCTAATAGGAACTGTGCTATACACCTTCCTTGAAACCCACTTACCACCAGCACCAAAGCACCTGTCAGCAGGTCCCAGCCCTTTTGGGACCCCCAGCTCTGCTCTGGCCACCCCTGGAACAGGTTTGGAGTGGACAAGGGTCTTTAACTGCTAGATGGATCCACCACAGAACATTGTAGGGAGTGAGCTCCCCATCACTGAAGGCGTGCAAGCAGAAGTTGGATGACCACCAAGCAGGGTGGCTATACAGATTTCTGCATTGTTTTGGAGACTGGGTCTAGATTAGTGTTTTTCAAGCTGCAGATTGAGATCCATTAGTGGATTGTGAAATCAAATTCATGGGTAGTTAATTGGTATTTTGTTTTCAAATAAAATGGGATACAGTAGGAAAAAGTCAAAACACATCTTATTTAGTAGAGTGTTTCCTATACCTTTTTTTAGTTGTGTATTTTCAGTTATGTATTTATAAATATAAATTGTGTTTATTTTTATAAACATATTTTAGAAATGTTATTGTATTTATAAATAAATACACATATATTTATATATTTATATTTTGGTTACACGTACATTTATGTGTGTGTATGTAGGTGGATTAGTGACTAGATGTATGTGGGTGTGCCAGTATTATGACATGTAGATACTGGATCATGATATAAAAGGCAGTTCTTTACTGTCAGTCCCAGTAAGAAAAAAACATTGGCTGTGTGACCCTTATGACCTTTTCTACGACTGTAAGCCTATGGATGACTCTTACTAGACTATGAACTTCTTTTTAAAATTTTAAAATTTTTAATTGTGGTAAAATACACATAATACCAAATTTACCATTTTAGCCATTTTAAAGTGTACAGTTCGGTGGTATTAACTACATTCACACTGATGTGCAACCATCACCACCATCCATCTTCATGACTTTTTTATCTCTCCAAACTGAAACTCTCCCTGTTGAACACTAACTCTATTCCTCTCTCCCCTAGCCCCTGGCAACCCCCATTCTACTTTCTGTATCTATGAATTTGACTGCTCTACATACCTTATATAAATAGAATCATGTAGCATTTGTCTTTTTATGACTGGCTTCTTTCACTTAGCATCATGTCCTCAAGATTTACCCATATCATTGACTGCGAAAATTCCTGCAAGGAGATATGCCTTGTTCGAACAGGTCCCTGTGACCATGTTCCATATATAAATGTCCATAGTCCACTTGCTGTGTTAAATGGAAAACTGTGTCTCTTTAGGGAGATATTTCGTTCTAAAGGACCTACCAAAAATTGAGAAGCCTGGTCTAATATTGTCCTTCCTGAGCAGAGGCTTTAATGGAAATTCTATAGGCTGGTGTGGTGGTAGGCGTGTCTTGCATTTTTTTGCTTAATATTTAGATTTCATTTTGGTTCAATAAAAGAAATCCCAGGGCCCAGCAAGGTTGGCTGCCTTGCCTCTCCCGACTAGGCCATTTAAGCCACATTTGCCCTCTGGGATGTGAGTATGCTGACTGATATGATTTAAAGTGGAGCAATAAAGATTGATAAACTGAGATCCAGAGAGTGAGGTGTGACAGGAAAGAAGGCAGGTAAGAGAGGGGGAAAGAGAGGACAGTGTCTCCATTAAACCAACCATATAGAAAGAAGGGGGAAATGCTTAATTTTACTGAACTCTTAAGAACCTTTCTCCAGACGCCTTACATATCTTTTTTTAAAAATATTTATTTATTTATTTATTTATTTATTTATTTATTTATTTATTTATTTATGTACAGAGAGAGAGAGAAAGAGAGAGAGCATAAGCAGGGGGAGCATTAGGCAGAGGCAGAGGGAGAAGCTGACTCCCACTGAGCAGGGAACCTGATGTGGGGCTCGATCCCAGGACCCTGGACTCATGATCTGAGTGGAAGGCAGATGCTTAACCACTGAGCCACTCAGGTGCCCCCCTTTGATAACTTTATATTATTTCTCAATTACCCAGAAACTATCATTTGGAGACACAGAATTCCAGTGATTTTGAAATCATAGACAGGTAGAAATGAGACATTTATTTGGGGAGTGAGGTAGAAATTTGGGGGGAAATTATAAAATATTCAGAATGTAATTTTTATAAATGCTCTGTAGAGAACCAGACTCTACACTGCCCTCCTTTTTTTTTTTGGCTTGGCCAATAAACATTCATCATGTATAATTTAATTTGCTAATTAAGTTAGAATTTGCTATATTTAGAGATGTGATAGTCTGGAAAAAGGTTGCTTTTTCTGTTTTTCTTTGAGGAACAGTATGGACAAAAAAAAAAAAATCTCTCCTGATATTTTAAAAAGCGTTTCCAGGTCTTTACATCTTTAGTTCCACTAGGAAGATAGGAAAATACACAGGTAGAGGTACACTACTCCTGCTTCCCTGTACACATCTACGCTTCCCCCTACCGTCCCCTGCAATCACTGGTCTTTTCTATTAAAACTGATTGTCACTGTGTGTCCATTCCCTTACAGTCGTATCAGAGGTAGATGGTAGGAGGTAAGAGGACAGATCGGATTGGAAGTGATGGGCCTAATTTATGGAAGGGTATAAGCAACTCAGGAGTTCAGAGAACAAACCCGGGAATGTGAATCTAGAGAAAGGAGCGGAGTGCAGACTGTAGGGTGAAAGAGTTCCAGTGGATCATTTGGATGTCAGTGCCCAGAAATGAGAGCCAGGTAGAAGGCAAGGTTGAAACAGACAATGAGGGAATAGGTGGGGAGATTCTGTTAGCTGCCTGCACTAACATAACTTACTTGACTATTATTGATCCTGGGATGGCTTTGTCTGTCTTCTGCATCTGTCACCAAACAAATATGTAAGGATCCCATGAATCCTTCTTAAAAAATATATTACCCCAAGAAGTCTAGCTGACCAAAAGTTTTTGTCAAACTAAAGAACTCAGGGACAAAAGAGATTTGGTATTGATAGTGGTTACAAAGAAAGAAAATACTAGAATTTATTGTCTTTGTCTAATTATTTTTTGGTAATTAGACAAATTATTATTATTATATTTTAATATTTTATTTTTTCATGAGAGACACAGAGAGAGAGAGGCAAAGACACAGGTGGAGGGAGAAGCAGGCTCCATGCAGGGAGCCTGATGCTGGACTTGATCCCGGGACTCCAGGATCATGCCCTGGGCTGAAGGCAGGAGCTAAATCGCTGAGCCACCCAGGGATCCCTAACTAGACAAATTAGAGTAATTTTTTTGTTGGGGGGCAGGGGTAGAGGGAGAGGGAGAGGAAGAATCTTCAGTAGCCTCCATGCCCAGTGCAGAGCCCAACACCAGTCTTGATCTCACAACCCTGAGATAGTGACCTGAGTTGAAATCAAGAGTCAGATGCTTAACGGACTGAGCCACCCAGGCACCCCGAGTCTTTGTCTAATTATGATGATCAACATATTTATAAAGCTGAATGCAAATGTCAAATATCATAAAGCTAAGGAATATGTCTATTACATTTATCATTGTATTACTTCCTAGCAACTTGAGTAGTACGTATAGTAGATTCTCAATAAATATTTGTTGAATGAATAATTGAAGCACGAAATCAATAATAATAATCCAGAACTGAAAATGTAGATCACTATGACAAAATCAGAAGGTTTGTAGTGCAAGGAAATAAAATTATGCACAAAGCCCTCATCTTTCACAAAGAAAACCATTAGGTGTTGTTTTCTCCTTAATGTAATAAGACA